ACCCTGAAATACACCCCTTCTGAAAGTGACCCACCCTGTTTGGACTCTTGCTTGACCAGCAAGAAATAAATATTATTATTATTATTATTCTTTGTGATTCAATTATGGTATAAGACTCTTAGTTGACTGACTTCATTTCTTGAAGGAAGAAAACAAAGTATCAATATAAGTAAATAGAATGAATGGAATTTAGAGAATCAATTCTGAGAGTGAATATGGGTGTACCACAGGATCAATAAAATGGATCCTCTACTGTTAATCCTCTGTGTAAATAATATCGAATCAGTATAGTTAGGTACCGAAGATCACTAAACAGCTCATGCAGATGACTTTTTCTGTTAGTGATTTATAATATTTCAGTGAAAAGTTCGTCATTTATCATACATGGCGTGTCGAGAAATTGGTTTTTCCTGACAGCATTCCAAATTGAGTTGAAAATGGAAATAGGTTTTATATTCATTTTACTGAGAAAATGGTCATCCATTATCAACTGAGAAAATGATTGATGAATATCCAGAAAAGTTCAGGAGACTTGGCAACGACCAACGAAAATTCTATTTCAATTTTCTTGATAAAAGCGTGAATAAATAAAGAGTGCCTTCAAAAATGATGTGTACAAATCCGACACCAGCTTGCCATTCAATGACACAAAAAACACCATTGAGCGAATTCCCCCTTCAAGAAATTCGAGAGCACCTGAAAAAAACTTTCGACGACAACCAAATAACTAGTGTGCAGTTTAATACATCGATTGGTACAGACCGTTTCACCATCGCTACACAGGTCCTTCCATCTGATGAATTCGTTGAAAGCTTTTGCTCCTCATTAGAACTTTAAAAGTCACATGCCTGCATAGCTGATCAACAGGCTAAGTATTTCATATCATTAAAAGAATCGATGGAAAAAGGAGACGTTACAGTACAATGTGATATTGCAGAGAATTATAGCTTTATAGTTCAAGATGCCGCACAAAATATATGTTTAAAATATGTTTAAAATATGTTTTTCCGTTAACCAGCTGTCGCACCCCTACGAACGACAACTCTCAGAAGTCGAAACTTGTGTGAGCAAAGGATTAACGAGGTCTTACCTTTTAACGTGTGATTCCTAACACAAAGAAGGCATACACTAGAATAATGAACAAGCCGCCCTCCTAACATCAGTATATTATAACAAAAAATAACAAATTTTATTTCACGGAAGCATCATTCTGATATCAGACGATTTGAAACATGGCACTGCTACTTTCTACACATTCCAAAAAGTTGTACACCAACATCCTCAAGAAAATAACATAACTACAAATAAAAATGTTTTTCATTACTGACGGAGCTTCACAATATTTTAAAAACAGATTCAATTTCATCAATCTTTTCAATTTCAAACAAGATACCTGCAGATGCAGAATTTCATATTCAAGCAACTGCACACGGCAAATGTCTTGGTGGAAATTCAAAACGTCTGGCAGTACGGGCCACGGGGCAGTACGGGGCCACGGGGCAGTACGGGCATTGATGTCTTGTACGAATGGTACAAGACATCAATGCCGCAAACAAATGTCTATCATACCCAAAAAGAAGAATTGAAGAAAATACATGTGTCCTAGAAAGCAGGTTCGTTTCTGCGGTGACAATACCAGGAACAAAAAAATATTGTGCTTCTATTCCCACTGCTGAAGGTATCACGATAAAATGCACCAGTAACAGTGAACTTTATAAAGTTGTAAAAATTTGTAAATGAACTCTTTGTGTAATAATATATTCATCTAGTTTTATTCTTACACAACAGACAAATAAGGTAAACAGTAACTCGAAATTAACATTTCGTTTGTCGTCAGCCAGCGAGCGTCAAAGACGGGCCTGGGCGCGCCGCTTGTCAGCGCAGTAGCCGCCACCTTCCGGCATTGCAACTGCTCTAGCTCCTAAAATACCAGGCCCATTATGAAACTTCATATGGATTACCTGTATACTAGGGTCTATTTGTAAAAAATAAATGTAATCTTCGTCTGAAGATGACCCAACATCACTGGGGTCATAAGAACTATAGCTGTTTTCACTTTTCAAGAATAAGCAATAGTTCTTCTTCCATAATTATTTTTCTGGCTTGATTTTGAAGCCTTTTCGTACCTGAGGTACTTTCCCCACATGTCTCCTATTCACTCACGATTGACTACATAAATTAAAATTTAACCTTTCCGTACATGCTCTAATCATCACAGTTGTGCCCATGGCTTTAATATGAAGGTCAATGTATCGATGTGTTGTGTGTATTGAACATGTTAATAAAATGATATAATTTACTATAACTAGTATCATGAACTCATCGAAGACTGTTCTTTAAAAGGTAGAGCTAATGAGTGGTTTCAGAAAAACAAACTCTAGAAAAGACAAAAAATTCTCTAATGTCTACACATTACTTCCATCATACTGTTACTAGGCATTAATTACATTTGATGAAAAATTGGATGTCATCTCATATGGAGGCACTTGGGAATGCAAGTTCAATTTTTTTTCTCAGGCAGCTTAGGAATGTTATCAATGCATCAATAATGATAACTATATTTTTCTTTCTTTCACTCTAAAATAGACTATGGAGTTATTCTATGGGAAAACTCCCCTCATTCTATTAGCATTTTTAGACAGCAGAAAAAGGATCTTAGAATATTGACTAATGCATATTTTAGAGATCATTGCAAGCCAAAGTGCACATTATAAAATATAATTTTCAGTGTGTTACAAGACTAGATAGGAAGTAATTTATTATTGTTGTTGAAATGGTTTGTTTATTGAATTTTTTCAGAGATATTTTACATTCAACCTCAATCCTCATTTGGAAAATGGTTTTTTGATTAGTATATTGACAGAACATTCCTGATGTCATCCTCAATTTCTTCTATTTTCATAACTAATCAGACGATGTTTCTTTTCAGATTGCTGCTCTTATCGCATTCTTAACTCTGAAGAAACACAAATTTGGAAAATTTTTCCCCATCTCAATATTACTTATGGGGGTGATAACTCCGGCAATGACAGGTATAGTGAGCAGTGCAGCTATTGCATTCGTCTACAGAGCATCAAGTTTACCAATGAACCCATTGTATGCACTTTTTTGGGGTTGTGGTCAAACTTTTTTAACAGGGTGTATGGGTTTTACGAGGATTCTGGCAACACTGTAGCTTCTCTACAAGAGAACTCATAATACGAGTTATTTTTTTTTATAAATAAATGTGATGGTGCGATAAGCATATGTATAGCTATGTTAACAATATGGAGGTTTTGTTATATACAACGTTTGTTATGTATAAATCACACATGTTAGACTATTGTTTTGTAAATATTGTGCACTGTACAAATTTTAGAATAAGATGAGTCATAACGCCTAAGTCAATATTGTATTTTTACTTTCAATTCAAAAATATACGGCAATATATAATAATATTTGCATGATTAATCGATTGGCCCCATCAAAATTTTGTTTAAAATTCAAATGTAAATTTCTGAAATTTAATTTTTGTGGTCGTGTGATCCAAGTGTGGTC